AAGAAACATATAATATATCAAACAATCAACTAATAACCAATACATATAAAACTATAGAGTTAGATAGTTGAGATTGAGTTCTATCCAAATAACTTATTGCTTATGGTGGGTGATCCATTTAACATCTTTTATATTGGTTTACATGTATTCAATGTGACATATGTTCACTAACATTCTCTCTCATTTATGGCCCACCTTTTAGAGTTTTTTAAGCCTTAGGCTCTAAAATCTTTATTTGACCAGTTAAGCCTCTCTGAAGCTCATATATAGAATTAAATAGTTGAAATTGAATTTCATCCTAATACTTTAAACCTTATGATGAAAGGCCTATTCAATGTCTTTTATATTAATATATATTTATTCAATGTGGGACCCGTTTATTAATAAACATTGATTAGAGCATTAAAAGGTAATAATATATGCACTAGCCACCTACCTCCATAGAATCAAGTAACAAAATCATCACCGACTTTACTATGGAAGACAAAATTTATTGTTGATAATCCTCCAAGAACTTGTCCTCAATAGTTAAGAACTCTTTTCTTAGAGATGAAGCTTGGAGCAACTAAAGAGAATTCATAAGTTTGCAAGAGTGAGAAACCTATATAAAGATATTTCTATAGGCTGAGCTTTTTGTTCCCCTAATAGCACTAAGAATCTCTTTGAAAGTTTTGCTACTAGAAGCCAACCGACATACCTCCCCTACAATAATATAATCAAATGTCTTATGTATATGCTCAATGTTTCTTAAAATTAATTAAATAATTTAACTAATTTTTTTATGTGCTAATCTATATTATTTCCTTTAGTTTTGGCATAAGTCCATGCTACACTAACAAATGAATTAGACTAAGAATGGCCCTCGTCCAACATAAAGCCTTGGATCACATAATGATGGACATCGGTATTTTAGCAAGGCTAGTTTCAATGTTTTATTTTTTTAGATGCATTAAAGATACTGAATTGGTAAGTCAAAAGCAAGGTCTACTAAAAAACCTAATTGTTACTTTTTTTTTATAGCTTTTACTAGCAAATCAAAGTAGTTTATCTCGGAAGAACCTAGATTTTCAATTCAAATATGACAGTTCAAATATGGATGACGTTGCACGATCATATTAGCAAGATCTATACTCATTTTATTATAAATACTAACCTTATATCATTACAAAGGGATTCTAACTTTTGATCCGTAGCAAACTCTCCTTCTCCCCTTCCCTTCTCTCTTTCTCTCTTTTTCTTTTTCTTTTTCTTCTTCTTCTTCCCTCATTTTCTCTCCCTCTCTCTTCTTCTTCCTCTCCTCACTATCTCCCTCTCTCTCTTTCTCTTCTTCTTCCTCCTCTTGCTCTCTCCCCCTCCCCTTTTTCTCCCCTCTCTTTCTCCCTCGTCCTCTCTCTCTCTCTCTCTCTCCTTTCTCTCTCTCTCACCCACACCGAGACATTACTTAAAGTTTCATATGTTTAGAATTTAATCATCTACCTTTCGTCACTTTCACTTGCATCTTAATAACACTCGCCTATTCTTCTGCTTTCATCTCTCATTAGTTTTATTTATTCTACTTGATTGGTTGATTATTGCTTTTACAAGTCATAACACTATTTTTTTTTTTCATTTTGATCAATATATGGACCATTCATTTGATCACTTTTCAAGAACTCTCTACACAACTTGCCCGATACCTTTGTGATGTTTGAAGTCATGTACAAGAAGCTTTTTCCTACAATATTTTGGAAGGTAGAATCAATGTTTATGCATCTAAATAAAAAATGTTGTAATACAACGAATATATTATTTTGGTTAAGTAGCAATGTAGCATAGCTTAAGATAGTGAAAAAGATGACAAGTTAGCAAATATAATGAGAAAAACCGGAAAAAAAGAAGCCATAAACATGAAATAGTTGTGAAATCACCATTTGTTATGTAAAGTTTGCTTAAGAGATAATGGTGGCAATAGATCTAATATTGTATTTAAATACTGAGTTTTCATGTAGGTTTAGTGAATAAATTATAAATTAGTCCCTCTCATTTCAAGAAACAAATTAATTAGTCCCTTTAGTTTAAACAATTATTTTTTTTAACGAGTATTGCACATAGCTCATTTATTATTTTTTATTTTATAAAATATCTTTTTTTCTTATTAATTTTTCTATATTTTTACTTATTTTTATTCTTTTTTTTATTTCTTAAAATAAAAAATCAAAATAAATTGAAAAATAGAAAAAAAAGACTAAAAAAATTAGTTTGTAAAATGAGAATGACTAATTAATTTGTTTCTCAAAGTAAGAGGGTAGAATGTATAATTTACTCTAGGTTTAGATGACTATATAGAATCAGAGAAGAAGATAAAAGACATGGCATATTCACTATCGATTAACCATTCATGCTCTATTATTTTACTATAGAATAACTATTCACATCAATTTTTTTTTTAAACAAAAAACTTTGAGCCTACTTTTGTTTCTTCTTTTTCTCTTTGTTTATAAACTTCCTTCTGTTTTACTCTTAATTCGGTCATGCTACTTAATAGATTTTTGAAAATCTCTACTTGTCCTTGACTCGTTTTTCTTTTAATTTGCTTCTTCGATTTTTTCTGTCATTTTCTTTGTTTTTCAAACAGAGCATTTAATGCTCCAGCCTTTCATTGTTTTTTTTTTTTTTTCAGATGAGCCATTTGCAATTCAAGGGTAAATTATAAATTAGTCCCTTTGGCTTCAAAAAATGAATTAATTAGTCTATCTAGTTTACAAAACTAATTATCTAGTCATTTTTGCTATTTTTAAATTTATTTTTATCTTTTTTTAATAAATCAAAAATAAAAATATATTAAAAAATGATGAAAAAAGAAAATATTTTATGATAAAAAATTAAATTAGTGGTGATCAACACCGATTAAGAGGATTAAATAAATAGTTTTTATAATCAAAATGACTAATTAATTCATTTCTCGAAATATGAGGGGCTAATTTATAATTCGCTCTATAATTTAAGGACCTCTTTCATCATTATTTGCAGGTGATTTTTTTTTAAAAAAAAAATATATCATACTAGTGGCCTATATCAAAAGATTGCATTAAAAATAATTGTATTTGGTATAAGAAATTAGATATACCTTATACATGACCTTGACTGTAACAAGAGTAGGTAATGCTTATAAATAATAATCAAGTTAAAAAATGATTACAAACAAAACTAAATCAGTTAGTGCTACTATTGACTTATTAAAGATCCATACAAAATGATTTTATGAATATAATATGGGGATTGTATTTTTTTACTCAAAATTATAGAGCGAGGATATTTTTATGCTTTTCTTTAGAAAAATTACTTATTTGACCATTGGATTTGCTTTTAAATAATATTTTTTCTAAACATTGAATAGCAGCTCAGTTCTATGTGTGAATATATTGATTTTGTATTTTTTTATTTTTTTTTATGTGCAATTTACTTGACCAAATGCTCAATGATTAAAAGTATAATAAAAATTTTATTATATTTTGTGTAAATAATTAAATATCAAATTAATTTTATAAGTTTTTTAATTACAAATTGAGTGTGCATATACATAAAAAAGACACTTAATATTTATTATTTTTTTAAATGAATATTTTCAAAATCAATTCTCATCAAGTAAAATAATAAAAATTATATTTTAAAAATTACTTTTTAAATAGAGTTCTTTATGCTAATATTATTTATTAATTTAAGAATATATATATATATATATATATATATATATATATAACCCAATATACATACTTTTAAAAATTAATCTTCTCATCAATATTATAAAAAATTATGTTAGATCTTAAAAAAATTTGCAATTTTTTAAAATTATATGTTGTTTTTGTTCTCTTGATACAATCTTATAAAATAAATAAATAAATTTATACATATTTTTTTAGGATTTCTAATAAATTGAAACTTACCATTTAGATTATTATAAATATTTATTTAAGAATCCACGCAGGAAATATTTTAAAAAACATAAGTAAAAATTAATTAAACATAAATTTTGATTAAAATATCATCAAATTAGGTGAATATTTTTTTTATTTCAATATATTGTAGTAAATTTATAACACTATGAAGATCATCAAATTATAATGATTTTTATTCAAATAGTTTCATCTTTTATATTGGATTCGAAACATAGCACAAACAACGATCTAGTTCTCACCGTAATGTTTGATGGCCTCTCCTTGCATACGAGTGTTCACACACATCAATGTCTATCTATGCGTATAAGTATTTTAATTTTTTATTATTAACCCACCTGTTTTCATATTTTATATTCCACGTTCATATTTCACAAATGGGTTGTGTCATTGCTAGAGTTGAGATTCTAATTCTAAAAATTTAATGCAGATCTGCATTACAAAAAAAACTTTAACTAAAACATTTATTGACAGAGTAAAAAAGTAATACTAATAGTTGCTTTTAATTATAAGTTTGATTTGGAAATCATAGCCTTTCTAAGTTCTCTTTTTTCAGTAACTTAATTCATTTTTCTAAGGGATATTTAAGTTAATTCATAAGTAAAGCACATAAACGGGTAGATGATACAATCATTAATTTTAACACAAAATATTATTAGAACTAGATATTTAAAAATATGGATAAAGTAATATATATATATATATATATATATATATATATATATATATATATATGAGAGAGAGAGAGAGAGAGAGAGAGAGAGAGAGAGAGAGAGAGAGAGAGAGAGGTTACTTGGCAGTGAAGTTTAAATAATAAAAATTGAGAATAGCAACCCTTAACAAGATATAACTGTTGAAACATTTTTAAACCATGCATGGAAGCCAAAGAGTTATTCGATTACTTGGGATAATAATATACCATTGTTACATCGATTATTCTTCAACATTATTTATTCTTAGATGGCGATTAGGTGAAGTTGAGGACTTATTATAGGTGTAATTGGGTACTAAATGTTCAAGCACTCTCTCTTTCCCTGAGGATTTTGATCCCTTGGTATCGACCCAGCATTAAGACAGTAGCAACTGGGTTTGTACCTGGTGATTCAAAAAAGTTGAGCCATCTACGACTCTCAATCCTTTTATCCCGTATACTTTGTAATCTTTGTCAACAACTGATCCAACTTTGCAACCGCCATGATAGTGGAAAAATGTACGTAAATTCTTCCTGTCCTCGCAAAACCTCCTCAGCTCATTAGAAGTTGTAACATTATTTTGAGCTCCAGCCCCCCTGAATCGAGTAAGGGACTTCGTATTCGCTATTCTCTCAAGCAATCGAACCATCTCGACACATTTCTCCATATCATTTTTCGTTGCTAGATAATTGAATTCCACTAAAGGGTTTTGCCTAGGATCTGTATTGTTCAATTCTAGCTTTCCTCTTGATTCCGGGAATGCAATCTTGATTGCAAGTGTCATCACCGATGCATTGAAGCTACTTGGTGCGATTATTCCCTCTACTAAGAATCTGAACTCTTTATTGACTATGCCTGCAACTTGTGCAGGTTCTGAAGCTTGAAGCTTTACGTTGACCGTATCGTCTATGCGGGGATTATCCGTCATCTCCTGTCCAACCCCTTCCAAGTCTAACACAAGTGGGACCCCCAAGTTCTGTAGATGTTTTTTGGACCAATGCCACTTAACAGAAGGATTTGGGGACTACCTATTGCTCCTGCTGATAGAATAACATCACCTCGTGGACTCGAATTCGCCGCCGTCTGGTTGAGGTAAGCTTCATAAGTTTGTTTTGTGCTGCCATGGCTCTTGATGAACCTAATACCATGAACTATGCTCCCTTTTCCTTGACCTGCATTATTTAAGTAGAACTACTCATTACTAGCGTCAAGAGATTGATTGTCCATACAATACTGATAGGAGATCAATGGAATTTTTGTTTTTATAAATAATTAATATATAGACTGTTTTCATTTTTCATATTTATTTATTATTATTATTATTATTTGTAAATGAAAAAAATTGAATTGCTATTGGATTAAAATTAAATGTTAGATGTATAAAATCTGAATAAGTTTATGTAAATTTGGATAAATTATACTTAAATTAGTTTTTTTAAAGGATATAATTAACATAAGCTTTAATCATTAAAATTAAAGTTAGGTACGTAAAACTGAATGGTATTATTACCACTAGCATTTTAGTTCATATGGATGCTTTTAATTTTAAAGAGTCCCTTTTAATTCTGTATATGTGATGTAAATAGGAGGATGTGAACATGAATAAAAGGAATAGTAAAAACTTATAATTCTTCTCATCAAAGAAATACATTATTTTTTTAATATTATTTATTTTAATTAGCTTTTAAAGCATTTTTGGAGATTTGAGAGTCAAAACAAAGTGTCAATTAGTAACATATATATATATATATATATATATATATATATATATATATATATATATATAAGGGTGATCTAGGAAGTCCATTTGGCATTTCCACCTTAAAATACTGTTAATTTCATTATATGATGAAAACAAATATAATCAATTGTTTATGTATATAAAGTTTGATTTTGATATTGACTTTTTATTAGATATTTACAATTGAAAATTTTTGAAAAAAAAATTAAAAGAAAACGAACTTGATAAATAATCGAATGTTATACATTAGTATTTATGTTTTAGTATTATGATATTGCATGAATAAAAGTGAAAGTTGTGGGGTTTGATTGAAATCAAAATGAAAGATGTGAGTTTTGATTTAAAAAAAAAATAAAAGATATGAGATCTACTTGAAATAAATCAAAAGTTTCAGTTGAAATTGAGAAATATATATAAATATCAGAAAGAAAAATTTAAATTTAAACTCAATCTTAATAATAAAGTAAGCTTGAAAAATAAGCTAGAATAATTAGGAATAAAATTCTTATTCCAATAGTTTTTTTTCTAAACAAATAAGATAATAAAATAAAATTGAAATAAAGTAGGCTACAAGTAAAGAAGCATGTTGCCGTTTCTGCTATTACAATTTAAACTGCAATTTTCTTTGTCCTTCTCTTGATTAATCATTCATGTTGGTTAAATATTCAGATCTGATCTTCAAACAATAAATGACTTATAATTTAATTCAATTACGTAATCATAATCAATTAAAAATGTTTATTTTGAACCTCTACACTATCATGTAAAGTATTAAGGATAAAGTATTAAGGATATAACGGTTAATTAATAATAGTTTAACAGTGTATTTTTATGCATATTTATTACCATTTGCTAAAATCAGAAACTAAAGTGATCTTTGCTTACCACGGAAGATGATACTCTTCGCAGTTGCATTCAGGAGAACAACCACGTTGTTTGGGTTTCCTTCCTGTAAAAGATCAGCTGATGAATGCCTTGTTCCATGGTTATCAAACAACGATCCCCCAATCTTTGTTCCCGTTAAATGTTCCCAAGTAAACCCATTATAAGGTCGAATTCCTGCGTCAAGAAAGCCATATTTGACAGCAGTTTGATATCTGGTCAGTTTATTGGGTTTAAAAACAATTCTCGACTCTACCCATTCAAAAGCCTCCTTCACCAACTTTTTATCCCAACCCACTCTTGAAACAAAACTACTACTAGCTCTGCTATAAAACCCGAAATTTATTGCTGATGATCCTCCAAGAACTCGTCCTCTATGGTTGAGAACTCCTTCTTTAGGTGTGAAGCTTTGAGCAACTGAAGAAAATTCATCTGTTTGCAACAGTGAGAAACCCATGAATTTCCTCTCTTTTATGAAGATATTTCCATAAGGTGAGCCTCCTCTTTCCAACACTAGCACCGAAAATTTCTCAGAAAGAGTTGCAGCTAGGGCGCAACCGGCTGTACCTCCTCCTAGAATAATGTAATCAAAAGACTTGCCTGATATCTCTTCGACGTTTGAAGTCATGTATGGGAGGCTTTTTCCTACAATGAGAACAGCAGAATCAGTGTTTAGGCATATTAATGAAAGTTGCTTTAACAAAGAGAATATATTTAGTTCAGTAGCATACCTTGAGACAGCGAAGAAGATGTTGACAAGTTAGCAAGTAAAACAAGAAAAACTAGGGCAAACCCACAACCATGAAATATATGTGGAATCTCCATCTTTCGTATAGGTTGCTTTAGAAGAGAATGGTTGTACATTGCAATCGATCCAATAAGGTTTGCTTAAATACTGATGAGTTTGTAGGCTTGATATAACAATTGGATGGTTCAGTTGACTATACAGAACGGTGGTTGGAAAGTTTACGTTACCCTTTTTGTTTTTCTTCGAATTTAATTTCATTAATTTGGAATAAATTAGATTTCGAAAAAAAAAATAATAATCAAGGCAACACAGAAAAATAATCATGAATATAAAATAAATTAATCAATTATAAAAATATCAAATTTACGTGAAAATTTTTTCAATTGTAGAAAGAAAAAACCACATATCAATTCCAAAATAATATATAATAATAATAATAAATATACAATTACTTAGGTTTCTTTATGAACTTGAAAAAAAAATGTTGATATTAGTACAAATTAAATCTCTAAATAAATTCGTTTTATTGTAAAAACTTAATGTCGCTACCCGACGTTGGACGGGACTTCTCTAAAATATCTAAAATTAGATTGAATATTTATAAGTTTATTTATAAAGTTTGGAGTCGCCACCTAGTATTGAAGGAACTAGGAACCTCAAATAGACACTCGGTTCGGAGATTCTATAGTAAGGAGTTTGCTACGCTTTTGGGAAGATATCGATCACCCAAAAGTACCCTTTCCAAAAAAAGCTACCACATCCGGTTTAGCTATAAATTTATCGCCTAAAATATTTTATTTACGTCAAATTATTTTCTGATTTTTTAAACTCCCATTTTTTAAATAAATTGAATTTTTTAGTTTTGGGCATGGCATCATATTGAAACGATCGTCGGTCCCCTTCGTTAGGTGACACGTCGATTCAAACATCGGATCCACTAAAAGCCTTGACACAACCGGTGTGTATGAGAATATCTTAAAAGGTGATTTTTGGTGACGTCAGCCTCTATCAAATATGAGGCTTCATCAAAAATTTTGAATTTTCTTTTTTGTGACGTCAGTCCCTATTAGATAGGAGATTTCGTCAATGTTATTTATTTATGGTTATGTTATTATTATTATTTTTTTGTGGCGTCGATCCCTACCAATAAGAGGCTTCGCCAAAATTTTTAAGCATTTTTTTTATGACGTCGGTCCCTATCGATAAGAGACTTCGTTAAGATTTTTTTTATTTTCTTCTAGCAATACATATTAAAGAAAAAAATAAAAAAAATTGAAATAACAATTCTAAATTAATATCAAAAAAACGAAAATGAATAAAAATAAACGACTAAAAAAAATAAATGAATAATAAAAGAAAAGGAAAGAAAAAAATCATCATATACCTAAACCATTAACCCATCACTTTTTTTTTTTTTTTTGATGGTAGATGAAATGAAATTTGCTTATTTAATTGAACTAAAGTCTAAGATCTAAACTAGAATACAAATTAACAACAATTCAAGTGACTAATTAAAGGGTTGGCGAAGCAAAAATACAAAAAATAGAGACTCGACAAAATTTAAATCAAACTCGGGAAAACTTGTGGCTTGAGTGAAGATGTTGAAATTTCTTAATGACTTTGATGAATGTAGATGTTTGGGTAGTACTCAAGATTCGGGAATTAAGCCTTGTAGAAGTCGGGGATAACGGGAAACAATCTTAGCCGATGAACACACCAAGACAAAGAAAGAACATAAACCCAAAAAAAAAAAAAAAAAACTAAGCCTTTTGCTTTTGATTGTCAATCCCTCTCAACCCCAAATCCTTCCTCCCTCCTCTCTTATTTTTTTCCTTCTCCCGACCAATTGGAATTTGAGAGCTTTTTATAGGCTGAAACCTCCTACAATTTCTCCCAAAATCAATTTAAATTTTAATTGTAAAATCTTAATTTTGAGATTTGATTCCTAAAAATAAGGAGCTTCTAATTTAAAAAAATTTATGAAAGATTTTGAATGATTTTAGGGAGGTTTAATATTTTTTCCTTTTTTTGTTTTTTTCCTTTTTTGTTTTATTATTTTATTATTTGTTTTATTTTTTTTTTTCGTTAAAGGAACCCAAAATTGGGTTATGAGAGTCGCTCCCTCTTTACAATGCTTACGATGCAAATCTTAGCTAAAGTGTGAACCTCAAAATAGATTGGTTTAGTGAGCTTGTAAAGAAATTCTTTCTCTTTTTTTTTCTAGAAAAATAAATGTGCGACTCATGAAAAATAAAAGATACAATACATGGCCTTGTTGTAAAGGGCGACCTACCCTAGAAATTTAAACGTGCAAATGCGTGGCCTTGTTGTAAAGGGCGACCTACCCTAGCAATTAAACGTGCAATGCGTGGCCTTATTGTAAAGGGAGCCTACCCTCGAAATTGACTATACAATGTGTGGCCTTATTGTAAAAGACGACTCTATCCCGAAAAATTAAACGTGTCATGTGTGGCCTTGTTGTAAAGGGTAACCTACCCTAGAAATTAAATATGCAATGGTTCTGTTGTGAGGCGACCCTACTTAAAAGAATGGTCTATTGTGAGGTGACCCTACCTAAGTGAATGATCTATTATTAGGCGATCCCGCTCGAAAGAATGGTCTATTGTGAGGTGACCCTACCTCGGTGGATGACCTATTATTAGGCGATCCTGCTCGGAAGAATGGTCTATTGTGAGGTGACCCTACCCGAGTGCATGATCTATTATTAGGTGATCCCGCTCGAAAGAATGATCTATTGTGAGGTGACCCTACCTGATCGGATGATCTATTATTAGGCGATCCTACCCGAAAGAATGGTCTATTGTTGAGGTGACCCTACCCGAGTGGATGATCTATTATTAGGCGATAATACTTGAAAGAATGGTCTATTATGAGGTGACCCTACCTAAGTGAATGATCTATTATTAGGCGGTCCCGCTCGAAAGAATGGTTAATTAAGAGGTGACCCTACCTAAGTGGATGATCTATTATTAGGCGATCCTCGCTCGAAAGAATGTGTGGGGAAATGTGGCCCCCTTGTTTGAATTTCGAGTTTGATTGAATGTTCTGTTTGTTTTTTATTTTGTTTTTTTTTTTGAGTTGAAATTGATAACAATCTTACCCGAGAGAAACATAGGCCGTCCCGCCTTGTCGGTACTCAATCCCCTCTTTGCCTCATTTCGAAATCTGTGCTCGGATTGTATCTCATAAGTACCGTCAAGATTTCCTTGCCCCCAAGGCTTGGACCACTATTCATAATGAACTTGAGTCTTTTCACTCTCTCTATTTTTAAAAAAATCAATTGGTCTTCGCTGGAAAGTGATAAACCACCATATGTTTTAATCCATCCTTGTACAATCATACCCGATTGCTTTGACCGCTTGTCAAATTTTGACTAAGTCATTGCCCTCTCTTAGGGTCGCTCTTTGCCCCTCGGCTTGATCGCTTTGATTGTTTTGATTTTAGCACAAAAGCATTCGATCGTTATTCCTCCAGTTAGCATAGCATAGTGATGCCATTGTCCGATAAGTTGTTGAACTTAATTAGAGTTTCTAGACTCTTGATCTTGCCCCCGTGTATTCTCAATGAAATGTCATTCGATTGGGCTACGAAATGCCCCCAAGTGTTGGTTGAGACCAAACACTTATCATTTTCTTGACATAATCCCCGTTTGTGTTCGAATGCTTGTTTATTGATGCTTTCATCATAATTTACAAACCGATCTTAAAATTTTTGTCATCTTTTGAAAAAGATCATAAACATTTGGCTCTTATGGATTTTGTCGTATATTTGAATGATTCTCTTAAAATAATTCAGATTATTTGAACGAAATGTAGAGATATTCCAATGAAAGTACTTTCATTCATGAACATATTTAAATTTATTGACCAAAAATCAAATCATGACATTCAAATGCTATGATGTAATTTCTTCAAGAAAGTTAGGCTAAGCAAGCAAAAAAGTGTTTGGGTCATGCAAAGTTTGCATAAAAGTTGACATTTGAGGAATGGAAAGGGAATTAATCCAAGATAAATTCATTTTGGGTAAATGAAAAGGTTTTGAGCAAAAAGTATTTGAAAAAATAAGTGGTCTTGAAGGATAAATTTGCCTTAGAATATCTTGATTCTGTTTATTTTGCCCCCAAGGTTTGTTGATGAAGACTCATAATTCAACGACAAACAAGCATACCGACTCATCATCATTTTTTTTTTTAGATTAGAATCCAACAACCTAGGTAAACTATCTTTGATAAAAAAGGACTTACAAAAGCACGTAATGCGGACTATGGCATTGGGTTTATGAAAGAAGGATATAAAGGCTCAAAACATGTTTGAAGGTTTTTTGACATAGAATCACTTTGTTGTCCATGAAAGTCTCTTTAGGTCGCATCGTTTGGACTTTATCACTTGAGCCGTTAGTTAGGCTGCTATGCCCTTGAGAAAATTTTTTTAGGCTTGCCCTATGGATTTTGTCATTCGATCGTTGACTTTGTTTTCTAGCCTCAACTCTCTTTGTCTCGTTTGTTGAATTTTGACTCCCATCTTGACTTAAATTTTTTTTTGTCTCCCCTCTTTTTCTTTTTCTCTTAAGATAATTGATGAGATTCTTTTGATAGAAATTTTTGAGAGTTTCATCGACCTTTCATGGACTATACACTTTGCCCTCGGTGTGAGGGGTGATCCCAGTTTGGGTTATTATGAAGAAAATCATCGGGCTCAAAGTGGGATGACGAAGGATAAAATTTATGTGAGATATATAAAAGATAGTATTTTCTCATCTCAAGGACTGATTCACCTATGTCGTTACACACTAATCTCTTTTGAATGACGATGATTAATTATGAATGTTGTTCATCGCTATTTAAGGCACGAATCATTGAGTCTTTCCTTTGGGCTTCACTATGTTTTCTTAGGCAACAATTTTCCTTCAAAGGTTAAGTTTGAGAAAGGATAAAGATTTTTTTTTTTTTTTTACAAAATGGAGGATTTCGCTCATTACTTTCTCGCTCGAAAGGCTATCGGGAGGATATATCTTTGAAGAAATTATCTCTAGCATATATCTATCACGTTTTGAAATTTAATTATTTTTTTGTAAAAATTTCTTTGAATGAATTTGT